TTCAATTGAAGGCCCGAGTTGTAGGCCCGAGTTTGTAGCAGCGATGTCAGACAAGATATGAATGTTTTTTTGAGCTCAAATGAAAGAGCGGGTCGAGAAATGGCGTGCAGAAGTCTTTAAAGATGACAAATCTCTCTAAAGATGATGTCTGTTTTCAATTGAAAAGCGCAATTGTGACAACATTTTCCAGTGGGTTCTAGGAGTCTCCCCTGGTTCAACACCATCTTTAGAGGTCCTAGCACGCCATTTCTCGACCCGCTCTTTCGTTTGAGCTCAAAAAAACATTCATATCTTGTCTGATATCTTTGCTACAAACTCGGGTCTACAACTCGGGCCTTCAATTGAAGGCAATTAGAACTGATTAGGACTTACCAGGTCCATCTAGGTCTGGAGAGATCTTGAAAGACCTGTGTACGTCCAATCAGAACCAAATCCTCGACTCGGGCACTTCGCCACTGAAATAATCCCCAGGTGAAGGTGGAATGAAACACTCTCTACTCCAACTTCTTACGAAAACGTCACAGAATTTATTTCATCAATTAAAAAATCTCTAAGACTGGTAGCCTTTTGTTTATCTAAAACAAGTACTTCAACAGATATTTTGGTTGGTCGCATGTTTACGTCGTTTTGAGATGCTCGGTTGGGGGTATTTTAATTACTTTAGTTTTTAGGAAGAGCGGTGAGATTGGCGATTTGGTGGGGTGACAAGACTTTTTTTATGGGCAAAGTATGGGATAGAGGAGATAGAAACGATGTAACAGTTTGGTGATTGCACGCTAAATCCGAATACTGATTTATTTAGTAGTGGCCGTATCCGTGAAGACCGTCAAGTGCTCCAATGTGACCGTGTTCCTTAATAACAACAGGGACCTGCTCCTTGATGTAGACGGGCTGGGGGACGGGCACCTGAAAATGGAAAATTTTTTTGAATTATCGTTCCTGTAATATTATGTTTTAAACCGGACGCGCGCTTATCTATCGACTCATTTATTCGTGAGAAGCTTCCTTTTCTGCATTAAAATTTCAAATGTATCATGTTTCATACACTCGTAAATGCATGGATTTATGATTTAAAGTGCATGGATTATGCAAATGAATGATGTATAGAAAAAAAAGTGGGAAATTGCTTTCGTTTTTGGTTCAGACAAGACTCGGCTGAACGAAAAAAATTAAATTGTTTTTTGTTGTGGGAACACAGGAGAGATTGCGAGTGGGTATAGGAGAAAGTGGTAAAATAAACGAAAATTTAACCCTAGTGTGGTTACCCTACTCGACGCTGCGGCTTTAGTTCCCTCCGCAGGTATTCGCCGGAGCGTTATTCAGGCCCCAGCGTTGCCGAATTCACTCTACACTGACTGTGCGCGTTTAGCGAGTTTCCCGCAACGTCGCGTGGCGGACAATTTTGTTTGGGGTATAACATTTCATGCATACGCTTGGCGCGACTCACTACCGCGATACTTGATCCCAAGGCAATACCAAATAAAAATTAGTTCTTATGGATTTCCGGAAAAAAATCTAAATGACTTAATTTATTGCTTTCTCATAAGTTAGTGGGGTTTTCTATCCTCATATGGTGTTGATGAAGGCAACAATAATTGTTTTAGTCAAATGAGATATAATAATTACATGTTAATAATTGTTTGAATCAAATAAGAAATCATTTCACGGAATTGTCATTTTTTTGAGTTAAATGTCGCAGAAACTATGTGCTATAAAATGTGCGCACTGCGGAATTTCCCTCGTATGGTGACCAATCTAAACCAGTTAATTGACTGGTTAATTAATTTTAGAAATAATGAAATTTATCCAGAATTACACAAAATTATCTGTCTCAGCAGCTCAAAAATTCCAACAAATTTCCCTGGGAATGTCCCTCTTCAATATTCGTAGGTAAGAATTAAAAATAAAAATTGAATAATGAATATTTTGCAATTGGGAAAAATAATGAAAAATATTTCTCTTTTTAACTTCAGCAAACGCGTTTTTTTCCCCACGCGAAGTATTTTCCTATTTTATTCTTCAATTTAATTTAATTACCCCTTGACTTTTCTACTTTCTTATTCCATAATTGTTTCTTCCACCCAAAACTTACTCCAATGAACTTATACACCGAGAAAAATTGTCTAAAAAAATTCATGTGCTAGCACAGTAATTACCGGTTAGGACCGCGGTCATTGGCGGTCACTTGACCGGTAATTTTGGTCACTTAAATCTCTAGTCACAATTGGCACACGCGAGAAAATTATTGTGCACTCGCGGAAACATCAATGGGGGCTCCATAATTATTCTGGTGCCACACGAGAATTTTTCTGTTCCCACACAATAATTTTTCGAAGTGCGTGGATTGTGACTTGAGGTTTTTTTCGACATTGAAAAAATTTTTTCTGAAAAAATTGTTCTTCGTGTAATTTGTGTAAATTGTAATTATCAATTTACTTAATGAACGTAATAATATTTACCTTAACGGGATAGGGCTGTGGTACAGCAACCTTGACGGGGTATGGCTGTGGAACCGCAACCTTAACGGGGTAGGGCTGCGGTACAGGAACCTTGACGGGGTAGGGCGCTGGAACGGGCACTTTCACGGGGACAGGGTATGGCCTGTCAACGGGAACGTGAACAGTTTTCGTCTGCACGACTGGGTAGGGCTGGGGAACGGGCACCTTCACGGGGACGGGGTAAGGCCTGTCGACTGGAACCTAAAAATAATTGTCCGTAAGATTCTGGAGGACACACTGAGAAAAACGGCGGAGAAAAATTATCGAGCAAGTCAAGTAATCGTGGACCAGAATCCTAGGTCTTTTAAAGTAGCTCTACCCTTACGGTAAATTCAAAGATTATTGAAAACTGCAAAAAAATTGCAGAAAACTCGATTAGATTCAGAATTCTAATTTTTTTTTCTCAATTTAATTATCGTTTTAGTTTTTCAAAGAAGGAATGTTACAAAATCAGGATTTAACGCAGTGTCTTATGTGAAAAAATCAAGAATTTTTTTGACACCTCATAAAAAATAATCCACCGTTTTGCAAACAAGTTTTATTATTTATTTATAAGAGGGAAATTTTTGAAAAAATATAAATATTTTGCGAAATTCAATTTAGATAATACTGTCTAGGTATGAATTTTTTCAAATTTTTTTCCATGCAATTTAGTTGAAAAATTTCAAAACTGAAAATATCCTAAATTTTTTTATTGTTCGTTTGCCCGAAAACGCTTAAAATGCTAAAAACAGTCCATGGCCTCCAATTTTTGAGCCACAAAAGATTTTTGTTTTCAAAATTTTCGGGAAAATGTGTGGAACAACAACCAGGAGCCAGTTTTTTGGAATTCGACTTCTACACAACTGATTTCGGTTTTTTTTCACACAAAAAAATTCACTACTTGTGTAAAAAAATACAAAAAAAGCAAATTTAGCCATTTAAGAGGCGAATTAAAAAAAAACTAGCTCGTAATTATTATTCCACATATTTTTCCGAAAATTTTGAAAAAAAAATCCTTCGTAGCTCAAAAATTGGAGGTCCTGGACGGTTTTTGGCATTTTAAGCATTTTCGGGCAAACGAACAATAAAAAAAAATTTTTTTTGCACTAATTATTCGTTTTCAGATCTATACAATCGATCTTCAATGTATGAAAAGTTTCACTCCAATAACCCACGACTGTTAAAACTCATAGTAGTCTCCCCTTAACAAACCTAATGAAGATTTTATTTTAAAAAATTCGCCTTAAAAATGAATCATCCAAGGAAATCAATAAAACTTCACAAAGCATGAATGAACTGAAAATTAATTCTGAGTAATGCCCAGGACGGGAATGAAAATTGTAAATGCACCTCAAATATGGGGTATGTAAGACAGCCGTGAAGACAAATAAAGATAAAGACCTTTCGTTGCTAAATTATATCACATTAGCCCGGGATTACTACCTTGACTGGGTAAGGACGGTCAACAGGTACAGCCACGGGGTATGGCTTGGGCACGGCCACGGTCTTCTGAACAGTCTGCACAATGGTGTGAGGAGCCTCGTGTCCCAACTCCAATCCATGTCCCAGTCCAAGTCCCAATCCCAACTCACCACTGTACGCACCGAGATCTCCGTATCCAAGACTGAGTCCAAGACCCCGCTTTTTCACATTCTTCTCCTCGGCGAAGGCTGTCGCCAGCAGCATCAAGCATATCTGAAAATTTATTATCAATTAATTAATTAATTGGCCAATTAGCACACGATAACTTATTGGATTATGATAACAAGTGCTCTAGAAATCTGAGATGACGATAATTTATTATTATTTGTAGAAATAATAAATTGTAATAAATTTTAATAATAAAATTTTAAAAATCTGAAAAAAAATAATGAAGTTTGCTTTGGGAACAAGATAGATGAAATAATTTGAAAATTGCAATTTTTAAAAATTACGAGCGTTTTCAAGAAATAATTTATAAATAATCAATTTTCCACCGTAAAAATCATTTGTTCGGAATCGTAATAAATTTATTCACATTCAGAACTTTTCTAGAGGTCGATTTCACGCCTAAAAAAATCATTTATTAATTATTTATTCAAAAACAACAAATGTTGAAAAAAAGAATAATTAAGTGCAAAATATAATTTTAATGACGCAAAACATTCATGAGTGTTTTCAAATTTTTCTCACACAATTTAACCGACAAATTCAATGATTGAAAATGGTTGAGCCAAGCTGTCAAAAATACTTGGATATCCTTAAGGCGTTTCGTACGAAGAATATAAATAATGACATTCATCTGTAATTCATATAAAATGTTTATAACCACAATTGAATTATCTGTGAATTTTCCCAGAATTTTTTTCAGCTTTACTTTTCAATTTATTAACGATTAAAGTCGCTCCTTACACACAGGCTCTTATGTAGCTTTTTCTGCGTTACCATCTGAGCTGATAATATAGTTTCATTCCAAACAGAAAGATCTCCATAAGAGCCCGCGTACAAGCCCCGACTTTAACCGCCAATAACTTGAGACGGAAATGTGAAAAAATTCTGCAAAAATTCACAGACAATTCAATCGTGATTATAAACATTCTGTACAAATTCCAGATGAATGTCATTATTTACCTTTTCCGTACAAAATACCTCAATGTGAGCAAGTCCAAAAGCCGGAGCACATGACAAAATATTAATTACAATAGAATGTGCAGCCGTACGAGTTACTCGCCGCCCTAAAAATTTGAGACTTTAATTTTATCAATGCACTCCAATTGACTTCAGCTAAAACAGCTAAAAATGTGAACGTACCAAGACCCTCATGTCGACCAACTTGTGTCCAGTTTCGACAAATCAGTTCTGTCTTTATTCCCGCTAAAACCACCCTTTATATAGGGAATTGACTTTCATTTATTTCTAACATCCCGGTAACTGAGAGCCAATCGCGAACTGTGATCCTTCTAATGCCACACCTACCTTGCGCCTTACACTCATTTATCCACGATGCATGGTTGAACACAATCTATATAAACTAACATTATAATACCACGGAGTAGACACTGTGTGCACACACATGAGACAGTCGGTGACATTGTTGTATAAACGGGGGAATCGAGGGATACCCGGTTTTCTCTGTATGTTAATCTGCTGCTGAGCGATTGGTAGCCCATGCAGGCCTTTTCACCGTCCACCGCGATTTTTCCTACTGTTATTTTTCGTTTTATTTCTGGTCGCCGTGTTATGCATACAATTCGGAAATTTTAGATCATCAAATGTCGTTGATATAACGCTCTTGATTTACATAATTTGCTATGGTTTTATGATCGTGCTGGTTGTGTAATTTTGTCGTTTAATTGGATTTTAGCGGGATAAGTGAATGCCCTGATTAAGGACGCAAAAAAATTTATGGAAAAATGAGGCGAATTGCCTTGCAAATCCTGTCAATTTTCCGACGGGTTTGTGCACGTTTCGAAAATCGAGTTTGATATTTCTGCCGGAATTTTCTCATTTTTTAACCTCCACTTTTTGACCCTTATATTCTCACACTTACTGCCTGACCCTTATATTACACTTGAGAGCGCTTGGTACAGCCCGGGCTGATACGAATTAATCAGCCTTCAATTGGATTCAAGTGTATTTTTTTCCGCGCACAAATGAAAATTTCTTATTCATAATTTTTTAATTCAAATTAAATTTTTAATTCAAGGGAAGTTCGTTCTCATTCGTCCGCTGATACGATTCCTCTGAATTTAGGCATAACCATAATACATCAGCTGACCGATCTGTTTCCGCATCAACCAAAATGCATGTGTAAATAGCAATGGACCAATAGCCGTACGTCTGATTCATGTTATTCGATAACGCGCATAAAATTCGCCCACATAACCGAGTCGTGACATTCCCGTCGGCGCTGGCGATTTTGCGAGTAGTTAAGGGAACAGTTATTGTCCAATTATGCTTGATATGTCCGGGACTAATTCATAAATTAATTTGATCAGTTACGGAGTTGTTCGCGTATGCTGAGAAAAAAAATACACGGAGAGAAATTTTTTAGAAAAATTCTAGTGCTAGCACGGGAAAAGAGGCGCAAAGTGACGGCCAGAAAAAATTCTAGTGCCGGCATTAGAAATTTTATTGGAGAAAACGTGAATTTTCCCCCGCAATTCTGTGAGAATTTTACAGAAATCCCCAGAAATTTTACTGGAAATACCAAGAAATTTTACCGTAACAGCACTAGAATTTTTCACAGCCGGTGGATTGTGATTTTTTCCAGTACTCGTACTAGAATTTTTATAGAAAATTTCTCTCCGTGTACTTTTGATAAGAAAATTTTCTTCGGAGGGAACAATTTTTTTTTTTTGACGCGTATTTCTTCAGGCCGGGAATTCCCAGGTGGTCCATGTCCATCTCCAAATATTATAACTATGTTTAATTATGAGGTGATTATGCGACATGTGACCTTGAATGAGCGCCCTTCATTAATTTTCAATGTTTTCAAATTTCAGATTTTTACGTAAAATAATTTGGAATAATTCTAAATGTTAATGATTGTCATTGACGTTTATTCAAAGTTATTTGCATCACAATTATTCGATAATTTAGCATAAGTATAATAATTATAATAGGTGGGGATGGATTAATGAACCATTTGGGAATGACTAAAAAAATCAATTCTTTTCTCAAAAAAATTATTCGTGGGAAAAAGGAATTTTTTTATCAATAAGTCTCGAGTAATTCCTGTTTGTTTTCCCAATAGAAGTGGGAAACGCGCCCATGAATGCGTTCTAAGTCACGCGACTTTGATTTGAAGCAGTTTTTAAAAAAACAGGTGTTTGAATGAGAGTCGACGGCATCTTTGTTCCAAAGGTCGGCAGTGTCTATTCACGATGTGAATGTTTTTTGGGCCCGAATGAAAGAGCGAGTCTCGAAATGGCGTGCATATGATTCTAAGGATGATTTTTGAACCAGGGGAGACTTGTCGAATTGCGTATGTCGAGGGGAAATCACTCGGAGAGAAATATTCAAGAAAAATTACGGAACATTTCACGTAATCCGCAAGCGAGAATTGTTTTCAGTGAATTTCTACAGGAATATAAGAGAATAAATCTGAAACGTTCAGTAAAATTTCGGGTCTGTCATCGAAAAAATACGAAAAAGTCACGTAATTTTTCTGGAAGTTGTAAAATCTAACAGAAACTTCGAGACTTATTATGCCTCAGAACATGAAAATTCTTGTATGTTTAAGAATTTTTACGAAAAGTTCCGGAAAATTACGGAACTTGTTGTTAAAATCTCCCCCTCACGGTGACTCATGGCTAGCCGTGAGGCGTCGGACGGATGAGTAATTTTTACGGAACAGATCGTAGAATTTACGTGACGATTGACACTTTTTATTGAATTTTACTTCACTCCCAGATTACGTTTCGAAACGTAAGTTTGACGTCTTTTTTCTGGTAATTTTTATTGAATATTTCTCTCCGTGCATGTGTTACTCGCGACATGATCCTGAACGGACGACGATTAGCACGGAATTTTGTGCAATGGTCGTTATCCGCTTAATTGGAGGGAATTTTCTCCCCTCGATATCGCACGTATCCGTTAGAATGTATTAGAATGTTCTGCTAATAAATTGAGTTGACTGAAAATATTGTTGTCATCGGTGTTTTTGCAATTTTTGCAGATTGAATAAAAAATTTTACGCAATTGCTAAATAATTCTATTGGCTTTCCATAGCAGTGCTGAGAATCTTTTGGGAGTTATGTACGCTTTATTTATTCTGTTATACCTTTGTAAATGTGTATCAGAAAATTTAATAGAAAATGTAATGCAATTGCTGAACTTTTTCTATTGAATTTCTGACGGTGTGAAAATTTTTTTTTTCCTGCCGATTCATATTGAAAATAGCATGAATTTTTTTACTTGTCGGAAAATGTCATTATGGGGCAAATTATGAGATTTGAAAATCTGACATAATGTTATATATTATGACATCTTCCATCATATGACTACATTAGTCGTCATATTTTGACACTTTCGGACATTCGATCGACTTGACATAATATGACATTTTTCGCGGCACAATTTCAGAAAGCTTTCGAGAAAGTTCGTAATATTATAGAAAATTCTGGCAATTTATGCTAAAATTTATAATATTTCTCAAATTTTACGTCATTAGCTGAGTTTTTGATGAATATCTCCGAATCTAAGGGAGATGAAGAAATTTTTGTAATGACCTTTTCTGTAGAGCGAGTTGAAGGCTACAAAAAAGATAATACTAAAAATTTTGCTATCTCTCCTAGATTTCGAGATATTCATTAAAAACCAGCCGATGGTCAAAATCTACCCAAATCGTTTTACCGCTTCCCTGAATTATTCTAGGTGAGGAGATTATATGGTACTCCATAAAGGTATGAATATCATTTGTCAAGCCATTCGTGGAGGCATTGATTCATTCAACGAACCTTGAAAAACTTTATTATTTTTTTTTTAAATAGAAGATTTCATTTCCAAAAATTTACAATATAAAAAAATTAACTGCAATATATCGTACATCCACTTCGAAACATATTTCCAATCTCTCAGCAGAAACAGGTATAATTTAATAATAAAATGAAGCAATTTAGTGTTGACATGTAAAAAAAAACATAACGAAAAAAACTAAATTAAAAATTAAATTCTTTTATATTGCTGCGTGCTTATTCTTTTCCTCCCTCTCAATGATCTTCACGTGTCTCCACTCGATAGTCTCTTTCTCTCTCGACTCATTTATTATCTTTATTTTCAGTCCACGGACGATTCATTTACTTCTATTTATTCTTTTTGCCCCAGTTTATTAAATAAACTCTTTCCCTCGCATAAAAGCTCTCATAATTCCACAGTATTGTCCACGACTCCATTCATTCCACTCATTCACTCCTCACCTACTGATTTATTTGCTCCCATAAATGGTGAAAAATCCTTCAATAAATCATTGCCCGCAATCAAATGCGGATAAAACGGAATTATTCCAAGTGAGGAGATAATACGATACTTAATGGAGATATGAATATCATTTGTCAAGTCATTAGCGTAGGCACTGACTCACGCAGAGATCTTTTAAAAACTTGACATGTATTTTTTTGAAATAAAATATCTCATTTCCGTGTGATTTTGCACGCAATGAAATGCAACTCCAGGACGTCAGTGAAAATTGTAACGACTCGTTGTGTACAGTGCTCTCTTGTTCTCGGGCCGACAGCCACTTACGCAATGACAACATTTGCCAGGGGATTGCATGCTCGGTGGGTGCTATGTAGTAGACATGTGCGTGTCGGTCAACGAAATAATGTAGCTCCTTAGCGGTTTATTTTTTCCCTCCGTGCATAATATTCGTCTTTGGTCAGGCCGTCTCGCTTCACCTTTCTTGAGTCTGAGGACTGATGCAATGAGCTCTGTGTGGTGCATTCTTAGCAAGGACTTTGGCTGTGATAACGCGAGGAGTAGCTCCACGCACGAAAAAATTTAATAGAAAAACCTGTCGAATTTGTTAGAAAATTCTATTGATTTTCTATTAAACTCTCTATTAGTTTTTGGCTGATTCTATTGACATGTTCAATAGAAAACATTCAATAGAAATAGCCCACAGAATTCGTTTTTTCTATGTAACTTATTCTTTTCATATATTTTGTATAGAATTTGCTCGACTCACATTTTCTAATTTTTTTTCATTCTATTGTTCTTCTCTTCTCATCAAGAAAATCAAACAAAAAACTTGGAAAATTTTCACTGTATTGCCTTCAGATTCTCTTCTTTGGCGTCAAAAATGTGAGATAATCTCATAATCCTAGCTATTAATTCTAATCAACTTTGTTTAGAACTTGAAAACCCTAGCATACGCGACATTAAAAACGTTGAATTATTCTATTTTTCTCTGATCTAAATGA